ATAACCCCTTCCATCGTAACCCTTGAGGAACTCATGGCTGCAGAGAGCAAGGCTAATAAACCGTTTCCGATGGCGGCTGATGAAGGTTTGAGTATTCCTAAAAAACCTATTCCTAAAGCTTTTATTCCAAAGGAATTATGGCAGAAGCTTTGTGTTCCATGGAGGAATTCTCTTATTATCAAGCTATTAGGAAAGCGAATCAACTATCACTTGTTGCGCTCTAGATTGTCACGTGAATGGCGGACAGACGAAGAATTTGATGTGATTGATGTTGGTCACGGCTACTATGTGGTTAAGTTTTCCATTCCAGAAGATTGTTCTAAAGTTCTTACGGGAGGGCCTTACAAATTTTTCGACCACTACTTGGCCGTTCAACCTTGGGAGCCTAATTTTCAACCATCTAGGGCTAAGCTTCCTAAAACGGCTGTCTGGGTTCACCTTTATGGGGTCCCTATGGAATGCTTTCATGAAGCTGCCGTCCTATATCTAGGAAACAAAATTGGCAGAGCCATTAAGGCTGATCGAACAACTCTTCTTGCCACTAGAGGTGAATTTGCACGTGTTTGTGTCGAGGTTGATTTGAATGAATCATTGCCGTCGATGATAGATTTGGACTTAGAGGACCTTCCTCAGTCGTTAATTCTTGTTAAATATGAAGGGCTCCACAAGATCTGCTTTGAATGTGGTGAGTTTGGACACAAGAAGGAAACTTGCCATTACCAGCAACCACAGCCATCGCCGCCATTGCCATCTCAGGCGAAGGAGGGAGCTTCCACCCAACAAAACCCTACTGCAAAATCCTCGGCCAATTACAATGCTATCCCGGATCTGGCGGGTAACTGCATGGAGTACGGTTCATGGATGGTGGTTAAGCGTAAGCCACGGAAGACAACTCCGAACCAAAGACCCCCTATTGATCATATTTCTCCGTCTATTAAGGGATCTGATAATGATAAGCATGGCAATATTTCTAAATCTACCGAGCAACCTGGGCCGGTTATTCAGGAGGGAAGCGTAAACACCAGTAACAGATTTGGAGTCATTGCAATTGAGGAGAATTCCTCGGTAGAGGTCCCTGGGCTTAAGGAGTTGGCCTCAGAAGTCTCTCCTACACAAAAGGAAAATACGTCCGTCCATTTAAATATGGAAATAGCATCCTCTTCGCGAGAAGAAACTCCTACTGCTGCTCTCAGGCCTGTTAATGAAAGGGCTGTAAGTCCTAAGCCCCATTCCAAATCAGGCCGTAGGAAGGAGAAGGCTAAGAAAGTATTGGGCCCGGTTGTGAAAGCCCCCAAACCAACTGGCGCTAAGACCATGGGCTCTACTATGCTAAAAAAATCTATTAGTGAAATGCCAAACCAGTTGGTACATGTGAAGAATGACTCCGCTATGCCACAAACTCAGCCGCCACTGCCTCTTATGGATCCAACTCTACAATTTGCAGCTGCAAATGGTTCCATGCCTCCAATTAACTTGGTTTTAGCTCCCACTTCTTCACTAACTGGAGAATCATCTAAACATGGTCTGGGAAACATAACGGTGTTGAACTCGAATACCAAACATTCAGTGGGTGAGAGTCATCGAATTGTCTCTGCTAATGCTGGTGTCGAATCTAAAGGCCTTGTGCCTGTTACTTCTCCTCCTAACACTCTTTCTCAATGAAGGTAATCTCATGGAATTGCAGAGGGGTTAATAATAGCCATTTTAGGAGGGAAGTGAAAGAATTACTCTACACTCACAGACCAGATATTATCTGTTTTATGGAAACTAAAGCAGCATTTGGGTCTAAAGCTTTGAGCTTCATGCGTTGTCATGGTTATGCTTCTCAATTTCAAGTTCCCACCTCGGGCTTTGCAGGTGGATTATGGTTGTGTTGGAAAACATCAGTGCAACTTTCTGTTATTTTCTCTACTATTCAGGCTATTCACTGTTCCGTTCCGTTCCGAAATGAGAATCTTTTCTTGACATTTGGCTATGTCCGGCCAAATGAGTCATATAAGGAAGCTTTTTGGAGAAACCTGCAAGATTGGAAGGAAGAGCGCCCTGGTGCATGGGTCCTTATGGGGGATTTGAATGATGTAGCTTCTATTGATGAGGTCTCTCCTCGCCCCACAGCTATTTTCAATCGAGTTCAACGTTTTCGAAATCGGTTAGATTCTTGTGGATTAATGGATATGGAGGCAATGGGTTGTAAATTCACCTGGTGCAGAACTAGAGGGGGCCGGGTTCTCTTACGTGAACGGTTAGATCGTGTTCTCCTTAATTCCGATGCGCAACTCTTGTTACAAGGTGCAAAGTCTTTTAATCTACCACGAACCTACAGTGATCATCACCCAATTCTTCTTTCTATGGAAACTGCAGCATCCCATCCCCCTATCAATAAACCGGTTCGTTTTGAGGCTGCTTGGTTGTCAAGAGCTGAGTTCAGCGCTGTCTTTACTCAAGCATGGTCCAAGCATCCTAATCAGCTAGCTGCAGCTATTGGTTCTGTGGGCAAGGCTTGTTTGTCATGGGGTCGTTCTGTGTTTGGCAATATTTTTAGGAAGAAGAGATTGTTGAAAGCCAGAATCTCTGGAATCCAAAACTCCCCGCGCTACTTCTCTTCATCCCAGTTACAGCATTTAGAGAAGGATCTGCTCGAGGAATACCAACAAATCTTGTATGAAGAGGAGATACTATGGTTTCAGAAATCAAGAGTGGATTGGATTGCGTCGGGGGATCGCAATACATCCTTCTATCACATGTCCACCGTGGTTCGTAGGAACAAAAATAAAATTGGTGCATTGAAAATCAGAGAGGAATGGAATATGAATCCTGATGATTTGAAGCTACATGTGAGGAGTTTTTTTGAGGAACTCTTTATGCAAAAAGAGACATCCCCATTATTGGAAAACCTTTCGGCTTTCCAGCCTCTTCTTCCTGATGATGACCATGTGGCTCTTCTACAACCAGCTACTGTTGAGGAGGTCCAACGAGCTTTATTTTCGATGAAGGGACTAAAAAGTCCTGGTCCAGATGGCATACCCGCTTTGTTTTATCAAAGGCATTGGGGCACAGTTACTAAAGCCTTTCTTGAGTTTGTGAATCAAGCCCTTCTAACTGGAACTTTTGATCATTGTCTATCTGCAGCTTATGTGGCTTTAATTCCCAAGGAAGACTCCCCAGACACAATTCAAAAATTTAGGCCAATTAGCCTCTTGAATGTTGCTTATAAAGTGTTGGCTAAAGTTATTGTCAACAGGCTTCGTCGACACCTCCAAACTCTTATTGGCCCATGGAAAAGTAGTTTTTTAGCTGGCAGGAGTACTGTAGATAACATAATCTTGACTCAGGAAGCAGTCCACTCTATGGCTCGTCTTAAAGGTAAAAGAGGTGCAATGGTGCTCAAAATTGACTTGCATAAAGCCTTTGATAGCATTGATTGGGGGTTTCTGCAACAGGTCTTATTAGATTTTAACATTCCTCAACAACTTGTCAAGCTCATTATGTTTTCAGTAACTTCTGTTCAGCTAAGTATTTTGTGGAATGGAGAGCCTCTACCTTCTTTTAAGCCTCAAAGAGGGTTACGACAAGGTGACCCTCTATCTCCATACCTCTTTATCTTGGTCATGGAGAAACTGGCCCAAATGATTCAAAGCCGAGTTGATTCTCAGACATGGAAGCCTTTTAAGCTGTCCCGTGGAGGTGTGTCGATTTCACACTTACTTTTTGCTGATGATTTAATGCTATTTGCACAAGCATCTGGAGAGCAGATGGACATTATTATGGATTGCTTGAATCAGTTTGCTAAAAGTTCGGGCTTGACGTTAAACTTGCAAAAATCCAAATTATTTGTTTCACCCAATGTGCATGCTGTTGTCGCAAACTCACTGAGTACTCGCAGTGGAATTCCGTTGACATCTACATTGGGTACATACTTGGGAATTCCAATTACCCATGGGCGCCATTCTCACAATAACTACAGATACATTTTGGAGAAGATGCAAAAGAAATTGTCTAATTGGAAGGGTGCTAACTTGAGTCTTGCAGGACGCAGGGTGTTAGTCCAATCAGTAACAGCTTCAATCCCAGCTTATTCTATGCAAGCTATCTTACTGCCGAAGACCACTTGTGAAGCTATTGACCGCTTAAATAGGAATTTCCTATGGGGCTCTGAAGTGGGTGCTCGAAAACCACACCTAGTTAGCTGGGACGTTGTTTGTTCTGAAAAGAAGTCTGGCGGTTTAGGACTTCGGACAGCCTGGGATTATAATCAAGCCTTTGTGACAAAACTTGGATGGCGGCTGATTAGTGGAGAGGATGCGTTATGGTGCAGAGCTATGAAGTCCAAATATCTTCGAGGCCTCAATCTGTTAGAAGCTCAAGCTAAACCAGGGTCCTCCTTTATATGGCGTGGGATTCTACAATGTTGCTCAATTTTAAAACAGGGAATTCGTTGGAGGATTGGTTCTGGGGAGGGGGTAAGGCTGTGGTATGACAACTGGACTGGGAGTGCTCCTCTTATTATGCACAGGGAGGATGCACCTACACTCCCTTCTTTAATGGTTGCTGATGTCATTACTCCTGAAGGTGAATGGGATCTAGATCTTTTGTCTAACC